TATTGTAATTATAAATAAAAATAATACACATAAATATATGTCTTTTGGAGCTGTATGGCGTCAGCCGGCGTGGGAATTCCATTTATTTGTTCGGGTCGAATGAACTCAGAAATTTATACAGCCATGTTAGGACAGACATTGAAGCCTTCTATGGCAAAAATATTTAAAGAGGAGACAGAGCAAGTGATATTCCAACAAGATAATGCTCCCTGTCATATTGCACGTAAGAGCATTGCGTGGTTTAAGCGAAATAAGATTAAGCTGTTTGAATGGCCACCACAGAGTCCAGATCTCAATCCAATTGAGCATCTATGGGCTCATTTGAAGAAACATGTCCGCGCTCGCAAGTGCACTTCAATTACTGAGCTCAAGAAAGCGATTTTCGAAGAATGGGAGAAAATATCACCTACTATATGCGAAAGATTAGTACATAGCTTACCTAAAAGAATAGCAGAAGTCATAAAAAATAATGGCGGACCAAGCAAATATTAGTTTATATGATTATTTAAGAAATAAATGATAACATTTATAAAGATAGTGTTATTTATTTCCTTATAAATTGAAGAAATTGTTAAATAAATAAGGTGCCTAATAATTTTGTCAATGGCTGTATATACAGGGTGGGGAAAAAGTACCGTGATATCATAGAAAATATAAGTATTTCAGAAAAGTGTTTCAGATAAAAGTTGTAGGGTTCTAAAAGATCTATTTACTGATCATATCCGTTTGACCTTGCGTGGCGTCTTCAAGGTCAGGTCAAGGTCAGATCAATTTTTTTAAATAGAACACCTTATTTTTCATTGCATATTCTTATAGCACATCTCGAGAGCTTTCCAAAACACTATAACAAAATATTTTTTCATGAAATACTTTTGGAGTTATAAGGCTCGAAAGTTACAGTACAGTTGACATTAGCATTACGCAAATTGTCCGACAGAGGCTAAAACCTCTTGAATGTTGTTCAGGATCATGTCCTGGATAACATTTGTCAAGATCAAGGCCATTGGAGATTATTCCTCTTATTTTCATTTTTGCACTAAAAATTCATTTTTACGTAAAAATGAAAATAAGAGAAATAATCTCCAATGGCCTTGATCTTGACAAATGTTATTCTGGACATGATCCTGAACAACATTCAAGAGGTTTTAGCCGTCGGTCGGACAACTTGCGTAATGCTAATACCGACTGTACTGTAACTTTCGAGCCTTATAACTCGAAAAATACTTAATGAAAAAATATTTTGCTATAGTGTTTTGGAAAGCTCTCGAGATGTGCTATAAGAATATACAATGAAAAATAGTTCCATTTAAAAAAAATTGATCTGACCTTGACTTGACCTTGAAGACGCCACGCAAGGTCAATCAGATATGATCAGTAAATAGATCTTTTGGAACCCTACAACTTTTGTCTGAAACACTTTTCTGTTATACTTATATTTTCTATGATATTCAGGTGTCCCGGTACTTTTTCCCCACCCTGTATATAGAAATTTAGAAACATGAAATAATGTAAATATATATGTGCACATGTATCGAATATATTATAAATTCATGTGTTTTAGAAGATAATAAACAAAATAAAATTGTATCTGTCAGGTTCCTTTGGAAACCAAAACAAGTGTCGTTTTTCCACATTATTTTTATTATATTCCTTGACCATCTGTTTAATTTCTGGGCTAACCTCTTCCATCCTTTATGATGTTCTCTCAAAATAATATCTGCAACACAAAGCTAAGAAAGTGCTTCAAGAAAATCGAAAATGTGTATAATTTTTGTACAGGTAAACTATTCTCCGTAAAGAAATTCGGCCTTTATCTGGCTTTTTCTGCTTCCTAGATACATCGAGTCTAAGCACTTTATTGAACATTAAACTTTTTTAGTTATAAGTATTCACTGAATACTTATAACTAAACACATCACTTAATCACTTAATCACTTTATCACACGTATCACTTTATTATTTCTCATATAATATATATTCCTGTCACTTTCCGTTAAATGGCTATTTAAATTCCTTATATTTCAACGGTGCAGACAGACAGCGACAATAAAGAGAAGAAGCGAAATGGAATATCAATGCCCTGATTGGTTACATACGCTCGCGCATGTGCAGTTCATTTTTATCCGGTGAAATCGTGAGAGTTGCGTTACTGTATATACTGTGTCAATAGTTCAGGGGGTCGATTTTGTATCTTCAAACAAGCTGAAAATAACCATGATGGAATTAGACTGCGTTCCGTTTTACGCATGATGTGCATAATGCATCATTTATTCTTATTTAACATTCGCTGAATAACAAGGATAAAAGATGCATCATGCGTGAAACGGAACGCAACCTAGACAGGTAACCCATTGCGCATAATGGTGGAGGTTCATGATTTCAACCAATCAGAAATTGAGCTCATTTGCGGCGGGACTATTCAAACATAAAATAAAAAGAACGAAGCAGTTTATTGATTTTTAGTAAAAATTTATTAAATATAAATGAAAATTGTTTATTAACTGTTTATAAAATAACCATATACAATAAAAGAACCATAAAATAACAAATAAGCTTTATCTCTCTCTTTCTGTAATATTAGTTATGTAGACTACTTTCCAAAACGTTCCCTTCCAACAAAATTTTATTCGAAATATATAGTACAAGTAAATATATTATATCGAGTAGTTTTCCTCGAAGGGAACGTTTTGGAAAGTAGTCTACATAACGAAGACTTATGTATATAAGTTCTTTATTACACATATGTTTCATTTTTTATATTTTTTTTTGCATAATTGCGTCTTGCAATTGAGAACGCAACACGTTGGCATATTGTGTATATTAACAACTATGAAAAACGGTGAAAAACAACGCGAGTCGCGATGTACGCAGACATACGATGCAATACTGGGGTGCGTTCAGAATGAAAATTTTTCATCCGAACAAGGGTATCCATGGGTAATGTGACGTCACACACTTGGACGTTTTCATTCTGAACGAACAGGACTAATAGTTTTATTGTCTAAAGCATAACACAAGTGGTCGAATTTATGCGGGGTCTACAATAGTGATTGAAATTCAATAGTGATTAAAATTCCTTTGCAGTACTATTTAATACTGTATGCTCAATAAAATATTTTATTCGAGATGAAACTTTTTTCAGAATTTGACAATTTCTCAGCATATAATTCTTTACTGATTAGCTTCTCTTCTTCGGAATCATCATTAGATTCGATATCTCTAAAAAAAAGTTTTATATAATGTAATAGCACTTTGTACTATACAATTCTCCATTATACTTTTCAACTGAAAATTAATAACAAAATAAATTAATAGAATTATTATGTTTCTTCTATATTGAGTAATTCTCTTTTAATAAAATTCATACATATATTTACTACTTCTTTTTTTACATTAATATTACATTAATAATAATATATTGTTACAGAATGAATACTGTAAATAAAAAATGTATATAATCACTTACAAAATTCAAACTATTCTTTTCACTTCAGACACGTACTATCTCAAGATTCAACTTCTCCTACTAATAATAATAACCTCAAATCATATATAGTTCTTATGGGTTGCGTAGGCATAGATAAACTTTCTGCGCATGTCGGGCAAAATTCGTCGCAGTCTCGAGTGCGGCGAAAAGTTGTCGTCTGGACGTTCTTCTAAACCCATTCTGAACGACTATGGTGAAATGTCTGGAAAAAACGTTCGGTCAAATCGAACGCTTCTGGGTAAAAAGTTGTCGTCCGGACGTTCATTCTGAACGCACCCCAGCTGACTGTAGCAGAGTGTTGGCCATATTGAATTCCTGCAAATGAGCTCAAAATTTGATTGGCTGCCATTGCGCAACTCCCGGAATGGGTCATCTGTCTAATTCCACCATGAAAATGACAAAAGTGAGTAAATTTACTAGGTGTTGACCAATGAAATTATCAGTATTCTAGTAAATTTGCTCACTTTTGTAATTTTTACC